TGGTACCATGCCTTGCCAACAGCCTTGATTGTAGATGCCACCTCCTGCCAACTAGCCTCTAAGAAGTTTCCTCTCATTGTTTGCCAAGAACCTGCAAAATTATCCGGCACACACTTGCAGCCACGTCAACTTTTGTAAATTAAAAAAAAAAATCCAAAAAGTTATGGAGTGCAAGATTGAGAAGTTCACTTAGTCCGTCTCTTTCGGTAAACCTCTGTACAAGCATGACACCTGCAGCATCAGCACCACAACCCAAGTATTAACATCAACATCACATAAACTATAATATTCAAAGTCCAACTTCCATACCTTTTCATTGGGTTCTGGTCACTCAAAACGGATCCATATGCCCCTGGAAGCACTCAACAGCCCAACATTCCCGGCAGTTGCTCATTGTTTCGTCATTCAAGTCGTCCATCGGGGTGTTGGTCATGTCAAACTGAATAAATTTCAAGGCATATGCCCCACAATCAGCACTACAATAGAAAAAAGACATGAGCATTAGAATCAACTTATAGAACAATTGTATTATGTAAGTTAGTTTTATACAAAATTTACCTTGACTCATTCTTTGGGACGATAGAGCACTTAACTGGCCACTTTCCGGTCAGTACTTCATCACCGAAGTGCTCAAACATCTTGTTGTCACACAACAGCCGCGGGAACAACAATGACAGTGGCTCCAACTCGATCTCCAACTGCTTGTCTCGACAAATAGTAGGGTTGAAGTCAAGGATCTTCAGCAACCCCTCCTCTAGATGCGCGACGACTGCTATCCAATACATATCTCTAACGTTGATGATGTAGTAGACTCTTTTAACCTTTGCCCAACTGTGGCCATATTTGGGCCTTTCCCCTCGTACATACTGCATAATCCTGTCATCAAACTTAAAATCATCAAGGATGCAGTCCGAGTCTTCTAGGGCCAATCTTTTTCGCTTGGCTCCTTTTGCTGCACCTCTACCAACGACCTTTTTTATCAAATTGTGATATGTCGAAACAAGCGTTTGGCCAAATGCCACATCGGTGATGGCACAGTTGGTATACAATAGATCACCATTACTGGTTTGTCGTTGCCTTATCAGTGCCAATAACCCATCGATGTGCTGCATCAATTAAAAACAACATGATAAGTATGGAAAACATAAGAAAAAATAAGGAAAATTAAGCGAAAATAACTCACCGAGTCCTCAAGCCACCTGCCCATCGTAACAAACTGTTTAAACCATTCCCGATGATAATCCCCTGTCTTACACTTTACATGGGTATCACTTCCTGATTTATTGTAATAGGCATAGAAGAGTTTTTTCTTTTCTTCCTCTATTGGCCTATACAAATCGACCTTTGAGTCCATTTATGCTTGCCCACTTCCTCCCCCTTCCTCCGTTTGTACATCCTCGCCTCCTTCGCCTCCCACCTCATCCTCCTCTATTATCACTGCCCCACTTCCTCCACCAACCTCCTTAACCTCCTCCATTTTTTCTTCTTCCTCCATTTGTTTCTTAATTTTCTTCTTCTTTCCATGTGTTACTATCATGTAAGGCGATTTGACAAACTTGCTCTTTCGGCTCTCTCTTTTCAGCCCAGGTTGCACTTCAACCGCCTTTAATACTCCACCAATTTCTTCCTCCACCGTACCAACTTTCTCAACCACCTTATACACTTTCTCCTCCACCATTTTCATCCTCTCTTCCATCTTGTCAAACCTATCATAAACGATTGTTGTAAAACTCTCAAACAAGCCGTTTTTGAGGTCAACCACCTCATTCTCCCGATGCCGATTTCTCGGCAAAGCGGTACTTGTTGTACTAGTTTGCTGAGGCATACGAACCTCTTCATCCCTCTCATCCTCCTCCTCCTCCTCCCTCCCACCGATTGGAGCTTCATCATCCTTGACGTCAACCACGTTCTCAAGCAGTGGTCCTGCAACTACTGTCACATGCGTGACCCCTTCTAGGTCCCGCATCAGGCAGTTTATCCGTTCATCCCTTTATCTCCACTGGTTCGAAAGATGTGACATACTCATGTTCCGCTTCACCCCCAATAGAGGTGAGAAAGAGACGGACGACTCCCTACAATAAGAAACAAAATCAATGAGATTGAAGCGACATGTTAAAGCAACTACATATTCAAAAGCTTAATCCTTTAATCTTACCACAGCCGTTTCAATTTCAATGTCTTTTTTGTCGTAATCCCAATGGGTACACTTCTGGACATGCCACCGCAACATCCTAGGAAATTATTGTCGCACATCCAAACTCTTCCCTCCCTCCCTCCCCCCGCCTTAGCGAAGATAGGGACGAGGTCATACATCCAACCCTACATTGTAAAAAAATAGTCCAATATCATAATTCAAACACATATATTACAAAAAATATAACAAAAAGCTATTAATATTTACTTGCATTGCCCATGAGAAGCCAAACAAATTGTACGTGCTCGGTTTATCCTTCCCGACCCATTGGGATTGCTTTAACGCCATGTTTTTCCCTTACAGGGAGTCCATGATTCGCTTAAATGTTACCCGTCCCCACAAATAAGAATTAAAGAAGTCCAAGTTGATTGCAAACCTCACTCAATTCATATTAATGGCTTTTGTTGAGTCACCAGCCATTAGGATCGAATGTAAGAACAATATCAAGTACAGTTTGAACTTCTCTGGATCGGTAAACCGAACTCTTCTTATAATCTTCTCTAAATCGCATCCTGCAATAGACGTTTTCCCCTGCAAAACCTTCTCAACCAACCTTACGGCTGCCCCACTCTCCTTTATTGCCTTTGCCTCATCCTCATCTGGCATTTTCCCACATCCTAAGCCGGTCACCAACGCATATTCCATCATCCCAAAACGTAGTGGCTTTCCATCCACCACGAACCACATTTCTTGCTTTTTTTGGCATTTTACTAAGTACAACAACATATAATGCACTCCTTGCCCCCAGAACGTCTTTTTCCAATTTGTTCCGATTTTCAAAAACTGATCGAAACAAGTCTCTTTGAATCATCGTTGACCATTCCTCAATCCATCTAAAATCCCCTTTATTCTCTCAAAAACATCCCAACTCGACCTAACCGTCACCCTTACAGGGAAGTACGGTACATTCTCACTTACAATGTCCAACCCGTACTCTTTATAGTTTACGGTCCGCACAATCTGCACAATCGATATAAACAAAATATCAGCAACAAAAATAAACCAAAACAACTAATAAACAATATATCAGCAACAAAAAATCACCTCTGTGGTCACTTAAGCGATTTTGGATCGCTTAAGAGATCTTGATTCTGCCTCGTGCAAGATCTTCTTAAGCGATTTGAGCGACCAAGAGTAAACTGAATGAATCGCATAAGAGATCTTAGATCTGGGCAGATGATTCTGCCTCGCACAAGATCGCTTAAGCGATCTGGAATCGCTTAAGCGATCAATAGTAAAGATAAATCGCTTAAGCGATATCTTAGATCTGGGCAGATAATCTGCCTCAGACAAGATCGCTTAAGTGATCTGGAATCGTTTAAGCGACCATGAGTAAAAGGGATGAATCGTTTAAGCGATACAAATGATCGCTTAAACGACAATACAGAGCAATACACTCTCAAAACAAATATGTACCATTTCTTCGTCGGCCTCCTCGTCGCTTGCATTCTCTCCAGCCTCCTCCTCCTTGCTTGAATTCTCGTTAGCCTCCTCCTCTTCAGAACCGTTTTGCGATTCTTCTCTCTGTTGTTGTGTCGTCGTCGTCTCCTCTGCCTGTGGACCACCTTCACTGATCGGATGATCCATCGAAACAGCCATTAAACTACTCGCGCCACCGGACTCTAGGATTCCAAGTGATGTTGGGTTTTCGTCCTCGTTGTGAATGTCAACCATGGTTTATGATTGAATTTGGTGTGAAAATTTACAGTTTCGATCGAAAATCTAGACTATATCGCCGGAAATCGTAGAGATTTCGTTTAGGGTTCAAGAAATCGATTTTAGGATTGAATTTGGTGTGAAAAGTTACAGTTTCGATTGGAAATCGCGATTGTATCGCTAGAAATCGCGACTGTATTTCGTTTAGGGTTCAACAAATTGATTTTAGGATTGAATATGGTGTGAAAATTTGGAGTTTGGATCGGAATCACACAGTCTTTGTTTAGGGTTCAACAAATCGATTTTTGCCCTAATCAGTTTCGATTAAGCGATTTGAACGGGTGGGGTGAACTTTTAAATTTCAAATTTTAAAAAACTTTCATTAATTATGATTTTTCCCACATATGTTTTAATCCTTTCATTTTAACCCATTTTACATGTTTATCGAATCCTAACCGTGCCACGTCAGCTTCTCCAAATTCAAAAAAGAAAAAATGAAAAACATTTTCAAGGCCATTTTGTTAAATTGAAACTTGGGATGGCCGGGGAGTTAAATTTTCTCAGAACCATGCTTCGAAACTTAGCCAAAACACATAGCACACTCCGCAATTAAGCTTAAACAAGAACATCAACATCAGGTAATGCATAAGCAGTAGCCTCGAAGGAAGAAACATCGGATGTATTTGAAGGGTTGTTTCTTGCTTCTTATCTTCATAAACTAACAGTGCTCATGAGCAAACAGTTCAAGCAAACAGTAGTTAGAGGCAGAGTTTTAAGGGTCATTGTCTTAAGACAAAGTCTGGGGACCCATAGAAATTCTTAATGTTCACAGCAACTTAACTCATTCAGCATTGCTTCCAAGAACAAGCTGATCTATATTTGCCTGAAGAAAGCTTAGAGCCTTCTCAGGTTCTATGGTAATCACTAATCATACAGTCACCCAAACAAAATTCTAATGGTTCCGAGTACAGAGAAAATCCTGCAGGTAGCTGTGAAGCACTCATATAATTGAGGTATCAACTTAAAATTATCAGCAAAACCCCTCTACTATCCTGTCTCCAGCATATAATTAGTACATTTGATTTTACAGGAACTGTTCATGTTGAAATTGGATTGAAATGCTTAACATCATAAGGTCAAGTTTGTATAGCACTATCTAACCAAAATAACATGATTAATTAAACATGTTCACCACTAAAAGGAACTGTTTTAGTATCAATCTGAATGCAACCATATACCATTCCACCATCTTAATGAACTGCTGAATCATTATAGATAACATCAACTAAAAATTCTGAAAAAATACCTGGAGGCTTAAGAAAATGGTCTAAATATCCTTTCAAAGAGAAATACCCCAAAAAATTCAAATTATTGGCTTGGTTTGGAGTTTGCACCATTCACTAGTTCTTGTCTGATTAGAAAAAAAAGATGATCAATTATAACAATCAACACCTCAAGATACACCGAACAGACAATTGAAAAATTCATTTTTTAGTCGAATCTGATGCCAACTATATAAGCAACCAATTCTAGAGAAAGCCTTACCTACTTGGTTATTGGCTTATCGCATTGGCAGGACTGCTCCAAATCATCAGCAATGTACACCAAGCCAAATCTAGAAACTCCTTCTTTAACATCAACACTAAAATCTTACGTGAGTCTGTTTGGTAGCTGAGACTGAGAGAATTCAAGATAAGAGAATCTGACCATCTGAATTGTTTGATACCTCAGAACTCAACTTTCACTTGCAATTAAATTTCTCGTTATTTCGGTGACTAAAACAATATAATACACAATACTCAAGAGTTCATTCTGTTCCTCAACTTTCCTATAATTTCACAGAAACCAAAAAGCTTAAAATCAAAAGAAAAAAGGAAAAGTTTAGAACTACTTCATAACATTCAAAACTAGGCAGAATCCTCAAGCTCATTCAACTTCTCTTGCCTCTTCTTCATCTCAATCTCATACAATCTCAGTCTCTCCTTCATCTTCTCCTGTATATTAACCAAATCAACAAATAAATAAAAGTTCATACTTTTATACTCATCAATCCCTGACCACAACACACGAGATTGTTATACGAAATCAATAAAGAAATGGAGAAAGCAAAATGGTAATTGCCAGTAACGTTACAGGGCCAGTTACAACGCAAAAATAGTAAAATTTACCAATATATGTCACTAAAATGACAAGTAATTAGGCATTGAATGTTACTGGCATTTCAGATTGTCAATACAATATTATGGTGCCGCCGCCGATCCCGGCGACAGTACCGGGATGGTACCAAAAAATCCCCCACCAAATGTGTAAGCTAAATAAACTTAGTTTGAAAAAAAATCCCGGAAAAGAAAATCCCTAAAGAGATAAAAAGTAATAAGAATTCCAAAATTTTCCAGCGATTTCAGAGAGTGGAAACAAACAAACATATAGAGGGAGAATAAGAAGTTGACCTTGTAGCTTATTTCAACACGGTGCATAACGTAGAAGCCTAAAATGCCGCCGGAAATGGTGCCCGTTATTATCCGTACGGACGCCCAGTACGGCGAACTCACCGCCATTTGCTTTCTCTGGTTTTTATTTTATTTTATTTTATTTTTTTCCGAACTCTCTGTTTTCTCGCAAACCAAACGAACCTCTTCTATGCACTATGTCTGCCTGTTTCTGTCTTCATCTAAACGCACCGCTTCGAGCCTTCCTTCAAAATTTGCGGTTAAAGTGGTAACGTCGTCGTTTTATCCAGTTGGATTGGAGTTCATTTAAATTAAAGCAGAATTTAAGTGAGGGGATTTTTCATACAAAATTTAAAAAAAACTCAGTGTAAAATGAGGAAAAAAAAGTTATATGATTCGTTTTACATAACTTTTCAACTCTTAATTATAATTCATAATATTATTTTTATGTTGTACTCTAAATTTTAAAAGATTATTATTGAATCACAAATTAAATTGGTTATATTTTGATAATATATAGGGCGAAACTATTTTATAATCGGTAACATTTTATCAGATCATCATTTGAAGATTACTATAACATTAACAGCTTCATAACAACTCTTATACTTGAAATATTGTTCTGATACAAGAAAATAAACATAATACCAAAATTCATTTACATACTAAAATACTTTATTCAGAAAATACCCAGATATCAAAAATACTTGGACAAAATCAAAATGCAAGCCACTAACAACTAGTTTGTGTACTGCTACTTAATCACATGAGTTCACTGTTGTCTACATTCATCCCCCATAAGAGTACTCACATTATTGCAATAATGGCGATGGAAATATTTTCCAGAACTAAGCTTTGCAGTATAAGATTACAGACAACACATCAAAATCAATTCGAGTACTCTGGTGTCTAGTATACAACTTTTTAGTACATAACTCTATCTCGGATTACGCTTCACTTCCTGCCGATGAAAAAACTGAATGGGAAGCTTACGCGTATAATCACATCAAATAAAATCCTATCTATAAATCATGTACAAACAACAATCTGAAGCAAATGAGACAACAAATCCATAAGCGAAAGGCACAGAACTTTTGTCCTATATCAACCATTAGGCGCTTACCTGTCCTTAGCTTTTGTCCTATATCAACCATTAGGAGCTTACCTGTCCTTTCTTCTTCGACCTCGCAGCCTTGTGACTGAGTTCTTTCTTTTGGGGGGTAGGCTTGGTCTTATGACTGAGTTGTTTCTTTGGGGAGGTAGGCTCCACAAGAAGCAAGCGCGACATCACGTAGGCTAAGAGTTCTTCCCTGTGGGAGAACGTGAAGTCCAGGTGGGCGTATTCAAACTCGCTGTATGAGACATCAACACCTGCGTCTTTCATTAATTTGTAATGCTTCTTTACCATAGAAGGCCGAATTACCTTGTCCTTGCGTCCAGCAACCAGATCCACTGGAATATCAATAAGTTTATAATATTCGCCCAAGTCCAATGGCTCAGGAGAACCATACACCTCCATGTTCACAGATGCACTACCATAATCATACATTCTAAATTTTCCTGAATGTTTCATCTGTGCAAGGTGGTGAGCCACTCGAAATGAAACTCCAGGCATGTCATTCATGTTGTAGTGCGGCAGCCCTAACACTCCAACCCAATTTGAGCTGTCTCCACCAACACCATAACTCATCAGAGTTTGAACCAGACCTCCAACAGCAGGATAGTTATGAAAGTCTCGAGCCAACTTATTTAGCAGCATACGGAAGAATCTAGTGGGTATATAGAAGCTTGGCACTATATGTTGAAGAATAGGAGCCATAAGTAGGAATAAATACTCAAACACTGTAAAAGCCAGGTTGGAATCATCATGAAAGCCTGCTGGAGATAATAAAATTAATCTTGAGAGTCTGTGGGGCTTCTCTTCAATCCGACGAGTTACAACATACATCAGCATAGCAGCTCCTCCCAAGCTATGGCAGACTGCACAAAGTTTGTAAGGCTGATCCTCATTTATTTCTTCCTTGAGATCAGGATGACTTATCTTCAATTCTGAAGTTTTAATTTCTTGAATCTTCTCTATAATAGCTGGAAGATCCTCCATACCATGCTCATTGATGGAGTACTGCCAGTACCTACATTAAGTCATATTAACTTTTAGTAAAATACCACTGACGTGCCAATCAGCCACCTCCTATGATATGTGTGCACGTGCAGGATGTAGAAAAAATTATATATTCAATTTCAGGTTCTGATATTCAAATTAATCAAATATAACTGCTAAGGAAATTATCAATAGTTTCTCCTATAAACTTACTGTCGAGAGGAAATATTTTTGTCAATATGCTCTCTAGAAACCAAACCACGGAAATTCCCGAGGAAAACGTCATAACCTGCAAATAAATATATATAAAAATATATTTTTAACAACAAAAAAATTGGCCAGTTTATAGTCCAATCTAAAGAGTGATGTGACTGGAATGTAAATACTCCAAGGCAATTACAACACACCTTGATCATAGGCTGCAAATGCTGGAGAACCAACAACTCCATTAGACACCCACCTAAACAACAAAATAAACTTATAAGCAACAAAAATAGGTACTTCATAAAACACAAAATATTTAATCAAGTCGTAAAAAAACAAATTAGGTGATTTGCAACTGTAATTTGGAACAGAAAAAGCAAGGATGACTTTCGTTCTACCCATGTATATTCCAATAAAAAAAATCACCAAATAAAAATATAATCTACTGACTACACTGCATTTTCTTCTGTCTAGCATGAAAAACTAGCACAATTCCTGAATACACAAAGCAGAAGCCAAGGGAACATGTTCACTTCCTTATCAAAAAGAAGGAGAAAAAAGGAAGATGCATACTTTTTTTTTTCTAATATATACTGTTCAAGAGACTTGACTTAAAACAATCATAAATTAGAAAAAAAAAAGGAAGAAACAACTCACCCCATGGATGAATCCAGAATTCCATGCTGTAGATAAACAGCCTTCCGAGCATCACGTCTACAAAATCACACTCATAAGCATCAGACACAACATTCCCACAAAAAGCTATATTCTGAAAGGAAAAGAAACCAATCATACCTGGGAATTCTTTCCAAAAGCAGAATATATCCATCAGAAGTTACCACATGTATAGCCTCGTATGGATACCTAAAGGAGATAAATGCAAGAAAAAATTTACAAAATACAGAAAAATTCCCAAACGAAGATTGAAAAGATTCAACAGAAGCATTGTCCTTACCCAAGCTCTGTTATAACATCTTGACAGGTACGAGCATCTGTATTCATAGCCTGATGGAGACTAGTTTTCTTTTCTCTAACAGCTGGATTATTCTCACCAAGTGTTGCTGTTTGCACTGTGGTATCATAAACACCATCATGAATATCTTCACTGCCACTGCTGTCAGATGAAAACCATCTCCAAACTAATCTAAAAGCTTCTGTTGGGGAAAGAAGAAAATGTGCAGCCTTGTGAAAAAAATCAAATACAGCTTCTATGACAATCTCAATTGCTAAATGAAGGTCCTGATGACATAACATAGGAAATGAACAAGGAGAAAATAATCCATATTAATACATGCACAAGATATTAGAAAAATCAATGATCAATGTAAACACTATATCTTTGGTATTATAGTTAGAAGTACTTGAATAAACCTCAATGACTCCACGTCTCCTGTCAGTAGTCCGGTGAACAACATAGTCCCTGAGGGTGTGTATCCTCTTAATCGACCGTAAATGCACAGCTTGATGACCTGAAGAAGAGGCTTTTGACCCCCTTGTATAAGACATGCGGCCAAGACGAAAAGGTATCCCCAGCAAAAACTTTAGAGGAAACAGAATCCATGAGAATATGAACATGATCCAACCAGTCCTATGCCTTTCATACTTACTGAAACTAGTTGTTCTGGAGATTCGTGAACAATTGGATGATGGTGATGAAAGATACCCTGCATCAAAATCCTCCTCTCCAGAAGTGTAATCTACACTTGAAGTATCAGAATCCTCAGGAAGCTCATGAATGAATCGGTTGAATGAGGATACACCACTATCATCATCATGAAAATAGAGATGTCAAAAATCATTGAAATTTGTGTCACAAGGCATGATAATAACCACCACAAAAAAAATTAAAGAAAATGAGAGGAAAATTAGGAATTTGATAGTCAAAGAATAAAAATCTAGAAAGGAAGAATGCAAGAAAGCACAACTGAAGAGAAAGACATACACACTAGGACATGTTTGAATGGAAAAAGAAAAGAGAGATAAACTATGTAAGATAATTCGCCACAAAAACATTACGCAACTATATTTATGCCAAAATATGAAATTTGCGGCGATTATTTGGTTTCAAATCAGCCATCAACCAGCAAGAAAATTATGTGGTTTCATTACCCATAACAGTATAAACAAAGATTACATAGAAAGTCCTTCATTGAAGGTAATCCCATTCTCTATCTTTGTGGGCCCCTACAGCTCGTAACTTAAGGTAGATTATATCCTTTCCATGCAAGAGAACTAAGGATCTGAGTGAGGTGGAGGCTTCTGGCTCAGTTAGATGGCTTAAGATGCATTCACAATTTCCATTTAGCTTTAATCAAACAATTCCCCAGAAGGTAGTCCCCAATGTTATCGCTTATCATGAGTGTGCTAGACAGCCAAATCTGGTATAATCATAGTTTTGAGAAATCCCAAACTAGCCAAAAATCTCTTTCCAGAAATTCACAAGATATCACAACAAAAAAAAAAATACTATATTTCCTCATCGTTTGAGCCTACAGGTAAACAAAAAGGCCAAGCAAGCAATAGTTCACCTTCCTCTCCTCTACAAAGAAGTTTAACTTAAAAGTTCTATTCGCGCTAAAAGTAAACCAAAAAGTGGCACCATCATCCCAGATAACTCATTTATGAAAACAAAGACACATAATTGATATACTTGAGGAATTGCCCATATCTCGTTTAATCTCAATTCACAAAAACTGCTTTACTCTAAACAATTCACCTTGTATCATAATTGGAATAAAAAATAAAAAATCCATTGATCCTAAGCCAATATCTTTTCGCAAGAACTCCATCAATGCAGACAAGCTAAGCTCTGAAGTTTCAAAACTTACTTTTCCATCCAACGGGGAAACCTGGGCCCACGAAACGTCGGACGGAGCTCCCAACCATGAATACCTTCAAGAATAGTGGCCTTCCCCGGTAGAACAGCCAACAAAAGCGCTGAAATTCCATTGATCAGCCTCACAATGTTGTTCAATGACTCATATGTGAACGTCTTCACCGACCTGCACTACAAACCAACAACCAAAACCGCTCATTTCTCACCAAAAAACAAAACTTACACAAAATCACCCTCATTTTAATCCAAATTAACTTAAGAAATTCACAATCAAAGCACAATTCATAAGATCCGCAACTACTAAACCCTCAAATCAACACAAATACATACATACACGTATGTATGTAAATGCACATGCGTCATAGACGGAGTCGGAGAGAAGGACTCACTCTTTGGTGACAGCGAGGGCGTTGTCAACAAATCGCTGCATGATATGATTATTCTGATTTCTTTTTTCGAAATTTGGATTCGGATTTTTTTTCTTTTTTCTTTTTTTTGGTTGGTGTCAAAAACAGAGAGAAACTGGAGCGAAAGTATAGGATTTGGATAAAAAAAAATAAAAATCAATCCAATTCCGATTTTTTGGAAACCAAAATGAGACAATGCCGATTCTTAGCGTACGGGAAAGATTTTCTTTTCTTATTTTTTGATAGGCCACGTGGAGACACTATTTGGAGAGAATAATAGGTGTCGTTATCGCAGCACTGCCGTGTGGATGATGAGAAGTGATTTGTCTGCTCGTGGATGAGCTGATGAGAAATCTGAACTGCTCAGATCCGTTTGGGTCCTACTTTTGACTTGAGGGACTTTTCTTTTGTCCAGTAATTACCCATCATATGATACCCGTTAAGAGTTTATATATCAAGATATTTCACTTTCTTTTCCATTAAGAAAAACAATATGTAGAATCTTCCTTCGTTATTGGATGCGGGAAGGAACATGCTTTACTCTTACGTCAAAGTTAGTGGATTAAATAAGACAAACTTGGAATAAAGCTTATAAAATAACAGTTTATTAGAGTTCGATTTTTTGAAATGGTTAAGAACATATAAAATAGTTTTTTAGATTAATCTATCAAAAAGATTTCTATTATACAAAAGTTAAATTTATACACTTTAAATAAACTTAAAACTTTTTAGTTAATTAAAATATCCAAATCAATTTAGGCGCATTTCGACTTGAGTTTTTTCCATATGTGTAAATTAACTTATATCATACAAATACCTTTAAAACGCCACTAGAGTCTAAAAAATTTTAAAAGTGTCAGTTGATAGATAACTTGAATCAAACAAATCTAAATTATAAAATAGTAATGTTACATTTATAAGTTTAAATATCATTAAATAAATTGACTGAAATCAATTTAAAGTAAAGATTACTTAAAATTAGAATACAATATAATTTGTTTTCTCTTACTATATTATAAATACAAAATGATTGACACAAAAATAAATAAAAATTCGACTTTTAATTAACAAGGGCAGGCCCATGTGAATTAGCATCTTCCCTCTTCAGTTCACCGAGCAATGTATGGACATCTCCTCCGGTAGAGATTGTTGTATTGTTCCCGTGGTGGTTATCTACTGTTGTATTGTTACCATGGTTGTCATCGGCGGTCCCTTCTAGAAATGCAAACTCAGAAACCAAGGCCAAGTGATCACTGCCCAATTTCTGGACCAACAATGAGAATCAGAATTGAGACTGAAAAATTTATATCACATGCTCAGGAACATGTTTTTCAAGGCAAAAAATTAAATGTGTAGTAAGACAAACTGGGAATTTTGATTACAAAGAGTACAGTGTCTCGTCATAACAATCCATTCTCTTATATATTATCACAAATTAAACCACTTTTGAGTTCTGTTAATACTGTGCAGAGTTTTTACCTTGCATGGAAGGCCCCCTGTTCTTCTTAGTATATCAACCGGAAGCGTATCGAGGACTCTGGTAGGTACGAGGCCGCTTGAGTACCTGTTTTAATAAGAATAAACGATTTTATAGTTTCATTTTCAACATTATAAATATCAGAATCAAAAGGGTTATTATTATTCATTTACCATAGATAGTCAACAGTTCCGAAAAATTTAGAGTGATATGAAGTAGCTAAAGGTTCACCATTGGAGTCTCTTGTTTTTGTAGAACCCTGAAAAGAATTTTTCTTGTTAAAAATATTAGCAAGATTTTGATGTGGAAGGTACATATATATAATTATTATCTAACAGGGAACTAGAATCTAAATACTTTCACAGAGGCATATGAGCTGTTAAGCTTCAGTGGATGCACGGCTAGATGGCATTCAGCGTTCCTAGTTGCGATTTTAATCTCTTCATCTGTCCAGCCACTCTGCAAAAATCTGAAATGAAGAGGTATTAGATAAGAAACCATGAACTAAGGACCTTGAAGGACTAGGAAGGAAAAAATGTCATATCAGTCAAATCTTTAAGATGTAAAATTCTAAATTTATATAAGCTACTACTGATGCATATGAGGGCAGCAACTGATGTGAAAAAGAAAAGTACTAATGTTATCATCAGGAAAGAAAGAGGAAATATACCTGTCTATTAATGCCAATGGATTACTTGTTTCTTTTTTGACACCAAAAACTTGAGAAGGATGACAAGTTTTCTGACCAGATAATTCTCTTCTGTTGTATAACTTGATATCCAGCTGCAAAGAAATAATATTAGATCACTAAAGAATGGAATGTAGAATACAACTCATAAGTAGTGATAATGAAATTTTATATAAATTAAAATTTCACCTCTGATGATGATAAGAACTTGTAAATTGCACTCTGCCAATGAAAAGAAAAGAAAATATAAATTTTATCACAGTAAGAAGCATAATTACCTGAAAATTTCATATACTAGGTAGAAAAGGATCTCAGATACATACCTTAGGAGTGCAGTTGAAATCACCAGCAAGAACAACAGGGACATTACCCCACTTCTCTGAGATGAGCTGTGCCCTAGAAGAAAGTAAGCAAATCTGAAAAGCCAAATAGCTTATTCTTAACAGAAGCAAAACCTTGAAGCAAACCGGAAAACCATAGTTTTTGGTATTCTAAGCTGATCAAAATCATACTGTAACATGAAGCCATTTCAAGCTTAAAATACTCGGAAATTGTTGACAAATCTGAAATATCTGAAAAAAATTCCGAGACTAAAAAGTAAATTTTCCTTCAATTCTTATTAAATCTTAATGTGATCACTTCAGGCTATGTGAATCTCAATAGTAGCTGCACTTGGTAAAGCCAGCTACTTACAGAAAACACATAAATTTGAGTCAGCTAACTAGAGCTTGAACCCAAAACAAGTTGCAGTGATTCCAAGCTTAAGAATTAGATTATTGTCAGTGTAAAAGGGCTTACTTGACCTAATTTCACTTCCCCTCGGTTTGGATTATAAAGCACATGAATGTTGCAAACCACTAGTCTTCTTGATTTTGCTCTACACGTCTGCCTGCATAGGGGAAAGTTAGATATAAAAAGGATAAAAATATGCGAGTAAACAACTTATAAGAATACATAATGCAAAAATGATACCAATCAAAGCAAGCAATATGGTTTATTTCATGTGTTATTTAAAGATACAATACACCAATCTACTAGTCTTTCTAAAACAGCAAATTACGGATCTAACATTCAATGAAGAACAATCACAGAAATGCAATGAATCGCTACCTCAAAAACAGAAATTAGGGCAACATTGTCGCGAAGACCAAATTCCTTGAACTCAATACTCACTTCCTCCAGTAACCGAAAACTAACAAAATCAAGAAAAATAATCAGAATTGCCCTTATTTTTTAGACAGTGGAACTAAATGACCAGAACTTATTCACCTATCAGCTTTCCAAAACATAGCACAACCATCAACGTTATCTCCAGTGCGCCGCTGCCATTGCATATAATTTGATTCAGAACTTCTTCTATTGGTTACTTAATAATTTCTGATACATAAACTTGTAAGACACAATCATTATCAAAGAGAAAATTAAATAACCTTGTAAGAACCAACATATCCTGCCTTCTCCATAACATTGAAAAGATCAAAATACCTGTCCACCTCCTAAAATAAATAATTATATGAACACCCATAAGCTTCAAATCATACTCAAATGTCTCAATTTACGAAGAAAAAAAAGAAATTTTCATTGACCTCCTTGCAGTACCAGCAGAAATACACATAAATCCCACTAGTTTCAAATTTAAGAACAATGGAAATTGTCAGAAACCTTCCCTAAAATTATAGGGGCACTCTTAAAGTTTCATAAAATTTATCCGAAACCTCGAGGAATCAATGAAATTTTCTTGAGGAAAAACAAAAAAGTAGTGTAATGAAAAGGAAGCTTACTTGCATACAGATTATATCTGGGCTCAATCCAAATAACTCTTGGCATATTAACCTTTTGCGATGGCTCCATTTGATGTATTCTAAAGGAACATTTGAGTATAAATCTCTATGCTTGAAAGCATTTTTATCTCCCAATATGTTATATGACGCAATTCTAAATCTCTCTACACCATAAATAAACAAACAGGATACACATGTAACATTTTTATTACACCTTCAAAAAATATTTTTACAAAAGAATTATTTTTTCGGCTGTTTACCTTGCGATACGAGTGGGAGAGGATCAGCGTCGATCCAGTGGCGAACGATCTCCGGAGAAGGTTTTTGATCCAACGGTTTACGACGGAGAGGGTTGAGCCATCGACGGCTGTAGGAACAACGAGTTGAATGTGTGCGACCATAGGAGTAGGAAAAAACGGTGTTCGTGATGGATTTGCTGGAGGTGGAAAAGAGGAAGAAGTGACGCTTGAGGGAGGCGCAACCGGTGGCTACAGGTGGGCTCCGATTGAGCCATGAAGAAGAAGAAGGAGTGTTGCAGGCCATTGATCGAAGATTTGGTGAACTAACTAACTTACCTTTGTTTGGCGCCACGTTTATTTATCATTATTTCAAGTCAAGTCAGTGAGGGTGAACAGTTGACTTAGAACCCAAATTCTTGGATAATATTTGCAATTTTTTTAAAAGTAAATAAAATTTGAACCTGTTAATAAATAACAAGAATTAACTTTTAAATAGGATTTTCTCCGCTTAAATAGATTAATTGAGAATTACAAAAAATTACTACTTCAGGAAACAAGTGTGCAGCTCATCATGATCAAAAATAGTACCAATCTCATTTCCTCCTGTTATCAATTTCAAGTTCTAGAATCGATTTGATATTACAGACAAACTATGTCTTTCTGATTACCTAAAATGATTATAGGTGAACTTGATATTACTGTAACTTCTCCCATAATCACTTATTTTATAATTTAAAATTAAAAAATATTTGATAAACTAATTTGAAAAGTGATTATAGGACAAATTGATTACCCAGTAATCTGTTTTATTAAAGGATTTCCAAAATAACAAATTTTCACTTTTTTAATTCAAAAACTGCTTTTAAAAAGGTAATTATCAAAAACACTCTAAAATTAACATAAATTATAATTTACTTTATAAATGATTTTTTTATATAATAAAAAGAAATATCAATAGAATTGTGGTTAGACGCTAGCCACCATTGGTGGCTAAACGTCGCCGTTGGAGGCACATCCGGTGACACCGTCCACTCTATTAGATAGACCACCACCCAATCAACCTAATGGAGCAGTCAAACCAACTGAAATTACAACGTTTCGCTACAACAAATAAAAAAAGATTGGTCAAACCTTTCCCATTTAAAACATCATCGATTCCAATTATTTTGACTGCATCAGATAGATCGATCTATCCAATAGAATGAACGATATCACCTAACACACCTCCAAAGACAAAACCGGCCAATCCAACCACTTCTACCTCACTATTAATTTTTTATTTCTATTTTACGTAATTTAATTTTAATATATTTTATTAATTAAATAACCTATTTTAATCATTTTACATTTGCCATCTATCCTTTTTCAAAAGTAAAAGCACTTTAAAATTTTAACAAATCGAACATCCGAAAACTTTTTATCAATAGTTGATTATTTGTAAAATTATACCAAAAGCGATGAAGGAAGAAGCTAAAACAATCCCAAACTAAGCCAAATAGTGAAGAATTAAAAAGCATCTCGAAGCAGAAGAATTCGAGTGCAATAAAGGTATAACAAGCTATCAATCACTTAAAAAACCTAACTAAAAGAAATGTGTAACGGACAATAAGCTTAATAAACATATGCTACAGCCTAGAGGGTCAAATAGTTTTCCACATAATAATGGTACACCTTAAGTTAACGCTTTTTTATCTGTGTAGACAGCGGCCTAAAAGCTACGGAGCAAGGGTTGGCACAGGTACACACCTAAAGGAGCAGGGAGTCAAGTAAAACGAAGAAACGTCAGCTGAATGTGCTTTGAAATCTAAAGGGAGTTTTTCAGAATTACAGGTCTCCCAAAATCACTTATAACATGGCAAGAACACTATCTCTGGTCTTTGCATTTACTCTGCAGGATAGCATCTTACGGGCATTTCCTTTGTATATATGAAGCTCCATGCTCCTCGTACCTGTCAATCGCATGCAATTGAAAATATTAACTTAAAGGGATAATAATGAAAAATGAGTGCTTACATTTTTTTGTTTGAATATTGGGTAAGTACAAGCCCAATTTTAGGGCATGCTTTTGCAGTACTGCGTAATTAACTGCAGTAGAAGAGAGACTGGATCTAAAAGACGAAACTTACTCGGATTTAGAAAACCACATTTGCTGGAATGAACCAAGGGATGCTAATATACTCCCTCCTATCCAAACGCTGTTTCACATATCAAAACCAATATGTAAGTGAAAGAGAACACAATTATTGGCTACCAGCAAAGAGTTTTACATTAGATGACTGGAACTACAATTACTTACTAACAATCAACAAAATAATAGTTGCAACACTTCAATGTCAAAAAAATCCTACTTCCATTTATAGCCTTTCAATAAGAATGTTGAAATATGGAATTACGCTCTCATTAAGCATTAAAATGATTAAGGCAAACATGTGTCAAATTTGCCATTAACTTGATAAAAAGGCAATTTATTCAAGCAATCTTTTGGCTTATACTTTCATTACAAACCACTAGGGAAAAATTTTCAAACCCAATGCTCAAGAGATAGAAAAAGCAAATACAGAGTGAATGTGCCCATTAACCAATTTCAACAAATGTGAAGCAAAGTTTGGCAAAGAAAGAGTGAGTGAAAGAGAGTAACCTGAATCTCCTTTCTGTTGCATTTCCACTGGCTACTACTTTGACCCTAGCAGCTTGAGGAGACTCCTACAAGTTGATGCATGATGATTAAGTCATCTTGTAACTGAACTATTTCCTTTTAAATTGCATAAGCACCTTTATTAACTAACTACAATTCACCATTTGAAGGATTCTAGTACAGATGGTCTTGCCAGTTGCCAAACCAATTACAAAAGTACAGGACTTGGTGAAGAAAAAATCCAGGGAGTTGAGAAAACAAAAACAAATAAAATAAAGGCCACAGTAAACACTACCTCTAGCAAGTCTTTCTCAAGACGTTCCTTCAATTGTTGCATTGATGCTGTCCCACCAGCAAGCTGTAGTAAAAGGAGAAACATAAAGAACCAGATCAGTTCCAAGATCTGAAGGCAACTGGAAAAACAGATAATGGTGAAGCAGAACATATCCTGCCAGTAATAAACCATTTTCGGTGAAGGAAAACATCACACTCAACAATGCTTGATTCCCATCATTCTTTCCCATTCTATGTATTCACTGTTGATAACTGGTCATTATCCATTTTCACACATCATCCACAAGGAAATTCTACCATAAATAAGTAAATTGTGCCACATATGAATAGGTCATTTTCTTTTTGATATTAGATATATCAGGCTGAGGAAAGCATGTCAGATGGCTCCTAATCTGCTAGTTGCAGGCAAATAAAGATAACTCAAAATAAATATTCACAATATTCAAGGCATTTATGATCATTAGAAAACCCAACGTACCTATTTTTAGCATGAAATTAGGCAAAAAAAGAAAAAAAAAAATCAGTCTGAAAACCCATGCATCTTTTTGGGCTATAACTTCCACATCTTGCTTTTGTGAAAAAAATTAGTAAAATAGCATAGGAATTTGTTTTTCTAAGTTATTCAAAGACAAAAATAGTAAAGAAAAACTTTTTAATTACCAGTATACTGCTAAACAATTCTCTTCGAATATCCACATCACATCTGTTAATGCTCTCTATAACCTGCAAAATTGACAACAATGTACTAAACAAAATTTGGAAACAGAAAACATAATAACAATAGCTAGGACCAAATACAGGTAGGTTAATACTTCATAAATTTACCATTTGTGGCAAACCACGGCAAGAAGAGGCAATGTCTACATAATTCTCCATACCAGGAATTGTCTGGTAGAAATTTAAAAACAACAATATGAGTGCACCACAGAAAAACTGATGATAAAAGAACCAGCAACTAAAACTAAGCAACAAATCATAAACCACTATTTCACAGAAACTCAAGAAATACAAGTCCAATGCACATTAAATTATCCAGAAGTAAATGCGTGGTCATCAAATAAAAGAGTATGCTGGGTTAAGAGTAACAATCTAACGAGTTTTTGAGTCACCAACCTGAACTAAGGATGGATTGAACAGAACATCAGGAATCTTAAATCTATCAGCTCCAATTTCGATTGTTCTGCATCATGAATAGAAAAAGATACTGTATCAAATGCTCATCAGTATGATTCCATTATCAAAATGAAAATCAAAGCCAAGCAAGCATCCAATCAGGGTAATACAACATGGTTGCATTTCCACAATTTGCCAAATATATCCATGAAACGCAATTGAGGGTAAAAAATGGCAGAAAACTAGCACATTGTAACCTAACTATCACACTACAAATTTAAACTTAGCTAATCATATTGCAAGGGACTTACTGGCCATCAGGAAGCTCGTACGGGGTCATTGGAATGTTTGAATATGCACTTTCTGTAAAGAAAAATCCAAATATCAGACTGCCTAGTATCATCGAAGTTACAGAAACTTTCACGAAAAACGAGTGTCCAAGAACATTTTCTAAAACTTTTGGCTAAATAATTGTCAAGATACAAGCAATGTAACTCAAAAGACAGTTGAATGTTTGATAACCACATTCAGCACTTAAAAATAATTATTCAATGCCTAATAATTTTACATATACTTGATATCATAATTTTTTTTTTTGCACCACCTAATATCTANTCATCGAAGTTACAGAAACTTTCACGAAAAACGAGTGTCCAAGAACATTTTCTAAAACTTTTGGCTAAATAATTTTCAAGATACAAGCAATGTAACTCAAAAGACAGTTGGATGTTTGATAACCACATTCAGCACTTAAAAATAATTATTCAATGCCTAATAATTTTACATATACTTGATATCATAATTTTTTTTTTTGCACCACCTAATATCTAAGCGGATTTGATAATACAGCATAAGTCAACACTTCATTTAAAAAAGTCAATATATAGATAACCTGATGCATTTGTTTTTACCAAATGTTGAATGCTGAATTTTTTCTTTTCTTTATTCCAATTTTGTTCTTGTACAAATAGTATTATACAAATTGGCATGCTTCAATAATCACACTCAGTATCATCCAACCACCATTACTACCATCAACAACACCACCAAAACTACCACCATCATCACCATAAAATCATAGTTGCTACTACCACTACCATCATAAACCACTGCTACATAAACGTAAAACCACCATATTATCAAAATGGCTACCATCACTCACACATGCATTAGGTATGTCTGCCAGTACATGACGAGATATGTACATAATTAAGTTGAAATAGCCATAATAATAGGCAAGAAAACAAGCATGAAAAGTTGAACATCAAACAGATGAAAGGACCACAAACCATCATATGGAGTATCTGGAGCTCGAGATACACATTCCTTGATATCACTTGCAATCAACCTCTGTTGCAAACTAACAGTCAGCAATATTTAACAGAAATGACGTCAAAAGAGTAACACTCTGATAAATCATAACCTGAGAGAAGAGTTTGTAGCTTTCGGTGGTATTTGGAAAATCAAGATCTACTATCTGCAAGATACAACAATATAAAAGTTAAAATGTCAAAAGACATAGATAGCAAAATAATGATGATTATAATTCAGCTAACAAATTACACAGTTCAATTAAGCACACATACCAAGTCAAGTCACAATCAGAAAATAAAGAAAAGAAAGCAACAGTTGCTTAAAGTAACAGGGAGAAACTAATAGTGACAAGAATGCAACCATTGCAAAGTACAATTTAATAAGTTAATATGATAAGAAATGGCTCTTCTCCTACAAAAAGACACTGTTGTTGCTGTTGTACTCCACTACACCTAAACTCATCTGCTAAGGAACTAGCAAGCAATGCACAGAATCTTCTCTCCAGCCCCACAACTAGGCATTGCCATTTTATTTTTACATGACTATGAAAAATGCATTAATATAAAAGGAGCTGTACAAAAATGAACAGGCAGCCCACTAACAAATAACTAAATAATGCCTTTAATTGAAATGTAAACTTTAGAACACTCTTGTCCGTGGTCTCCATATATTTGGCAATTCTCCACTACTTTCATCTCACAGTCCTTGTATTTAATATTAGTCAGTTGCATGTGACTTTTATTTCAGAAAGAATATTTTACCAAATCACCATGATTAAATACCAACTATTTTTTCGGCCTCTAACTGAATTACTTAATTGTAACACCATGCCCATATATTTACGAGAGCAATAAGCTAAAATAGAAATAATGGACTATGTGAAGCCAAAAATATTGCAACTGATATTAGAATAAGACCTGAAATTCACCAGGACGATTCTCTTTTCGCTTGAAAGAGTATCTAGGTCTTATCTGCAGAAACCATGTAAGAAATTATTTTAAATGGTACAATAAATAACATTCTGCTCTTGAAAATTAATTCAACTTTAAAAAATGAAAGCACATTGATCTAGTCACTTACTGTAATTCCTTTGCTCTCCAAGCTTTTCATCAAGCAATTAGTTAAAAATTCCCCTCCTATAGGAGATGTCACAACTGCCTTATATTACAAAAATAAATAAATAACAGGGAAAAGAACAGAACGGTCAGTCTATAACAAGCAAAAAAAAAAAATGACCATCAAAAAGAACTAGCTAGATATGCATGTAGGTGTCAGCAAAATTTAGCCACATAAAATGACAACTATAATTGACAAAGCGGAAACGCAAAAAGGATAAAAGAAAGGCAATCATGTAGCTTTGTTAGGGATGTCAAATCTACAATGAAAGAAATCCTAGAGGGAACTCAAAAGTTTATTAATAAACCATGAATAACTTGTTACATAACAACCCTTTTCTATCTATTCCTAATACAACTAGAGTAAGGTAAATAAAATTTGTAATTGAACTAAAATCCGTAACTAGAAAGGTAAAACAAATAGAAAAATCAATTCGAAAATCAAACTTAATTAAATCAAGTTTTCGCAAACTCTGAAATCTATTTAAAATAGGAAATAATTACTACTCAAAACAAGAAAACTAAAATAACTAAAACTTGTCCTACATCAACAACTTTTCACTGCAAATGTATTGATTATAAAAAGCAGAATTATACATTTTAATGTATTCAAACAAGCAATCAAGCAGAGGGGGGTATGACTGGGTAGGTCTTAGGTTTTACCATGCCAAAAAGAAGAGGGGGATCAGGTTAGGAAAAAGAAAAAGAAAAGCAGATCGATGAAACATGATATATTCAGAACTAAGAAAATCATAATAAACACAATTCTGATATGATATGGACAAATTTATATTTTATATCGGCTGAAATACAAAAAGGATTGATGGAATCATGAAAAACTCGATAAAATACTCCCTTCTTATAGTAGCACCGTTATATTTTGACAAGTTTTGATTTATTCAAACATTAAGAAAGGGAGTCTGTTCTATATCAGGACAAAAGTTTAGCATATAGTTTGAATTGTAGCTATAAGAAAAATTACCTTTTGAAGAACATAACCATCATGTACTGGGGCCACTGTAGTTGATCCTCCACCACTGAAAAAGTTTGTGATTATGAATAATAACATTCATCATGTTAAAATAAATGTAGCTCTAAGAGGAAAAACAAAAGATGACAAGTAGATGAAATACTGCAAAACTTAATATAGCATACCTTGCGGCTGTATCATGTAAATGAAACTATTCTAAAAGCAACAATCAAAGTACAATTAATTCATGGAATTTCACAAAGCAAATATTAGTTACTAATTAGCAGAAGCAGCCCTATAAAGAAACTGAATCTTTATCCGTATCAACAGTCAGATAATTTTAAACTTCCTAAAAGAAGCATCAACATTTTTAAACAGCCACTGAAACAGGTAAACAACAAAAGAAAAAAGTTTTTCTATCAGTTTGCAACTATTGAGTGGGTTGGACATCAAAATAATGAAATAGATAAGTAGGACATTCTTTTTAAATAATATAGATACCCTATAACTGAGACCTGGCTAAATCAACTTTTCAATCTTTTTTTTTTTTTTTTTCACAAATCCGGGTAAAATGGTGGATTGCAATAAGTTTCCTCTACTAAAATAAGCTAAACAGACATGCAATGTAGAAAAGTAGCTGATTGAAACTAAAGGGCAGCATTTGGAATACAGAAGCAGAATCAAGGGCATTAATTAACCCAAAAAGAACTAAAATGAAATTCAACAAGTAAATAAATCATACCAATCAACAACTAGTGAGGTAGCACGCCCTAATGCAAAAGAAGTGAGAACCTGGCATCAAAAGACACAGCAATTACACACCAACAAAAGCAAAATAGAAGATGGAAACAGCAAAAAAATTTTAAGTAGCGCTTAATAGTTGCTACAGTATTAAAGTTACAGAGACACGGTAGGCTGGAGACATACAGCATTTTTGGCCAAGAATAAGGCTGGAACTTTGTACTTTTCAAACATAAGCTCAGCTGCCCTGTCAGAATGTAACAAGTCAAACTCCACCACAGGACATAAAACTAATATGCCACAAGCCAACAAATACCTGAACTTGATAATTAGCTAAACAGCATGATTGTGCCACAAATATTATATATATATAGGAAACAAAGTAAATCGAAGAGTATACATATAAGTGAACTAGCTGTCAACAAAAGGATAAACGAGAATACTTGAAATCCACCTAAGAATCTAGGTACAAAAAAGGCCTAACTGAAGACTTGACATCTAATTCCAAAAGCAGCCCCCAAACAACAATCCTCGAAGAAAGGAACACTACAATTATCTGAGTCACTTCAAATTATTTGCCACTAGAAACTATAAAATACAACATATAAACAAAAACTGAAAACTACCATTAATTGAAGAGCATAAGCTGCCAAGAAGGTAGCATCTCTATCTATAAATTTGGCTACATCTCTAACACATGAATCCTATATAGCGCCATCATAGGCAACTTGTGAGCCACATAGATAATAATTTCTGGCAAAATGCAAGGATGTTGAAATAGTAGAAAATTACGCTTCTATCATAAACCAGTAACAGAAAACTTCAGAGTGGCAGATCACCTTTCCCTCTGTTGTTGAGTGTTTGAAGATGGTTCAGCAAGTAGCATTGGATGCTCTTTGGGATCAACTAACAAACATTCCCTAAAACAGTAATAACAATTCAGCATCAGTGAATACAGAAATAATTAACAGGAAATATAAATTTTCACTCAATGTTGCATCTGGTGGCATGGAATTGGGATTTAATACCTTAGAATTCTATTGTTTGGATCCAACTCTATTTATACTTCATGTTGGTTTTTTTCTAATTTTCAGTTTACTTTTAAGAAATACTATATGAATAAAATAACTCTTCATTAATGGCATTTGTGAAATACACTTTTTTTTCTAGAACCATAGAAAATTTGATGCATAACATCTTAATGTATGCGTATCTTTACACTTATTTGTCTGCCATTTATTCTTATTATTCTCTATCAGTTTTTTTTTTTTTTTTTGGGGGGGGGGGGGGGGGGGGGGGGGGGGGGGAGGAGGAAGGAATAGATAGAGAGAGTGCAGTAGTAAACTATGATTCTTTAATGAAGAAAGCAAACCAACTAGCATTCTTTAGTATTCATGTGGACTTGGATTTACGAACTTGAGGCTCGTGGAATTGTAATTAAATTCCAAACCCAAACTCATTTATGGGATCTGAAAAATGGATTTTGAATTTTAGGTTTCACTGCAATTCCAAAACCATGCAAACAGACAAACCTTAAATTGGAAACAAACCAGAACAAACAACGGTTACCTAAGAGCATGATCCCATATACTATCCACAATATCCCAGTCAGCAACAATTCCATCCTTAAAGGGTGATAGAACCTGATAACACAGCAAATAACAAAGCAAAATCTTCAAAACTAAACTTTCCAGCTATCAAAAGAGGATAATCAACAAACTGACCTCCATATGGTCACGGCGATACCCTAAGGATTGTGTTCCTACATACAATTTGCGTTTTCCTTTCCCTTTGTTCGAATCAACATTGTTCTTAGAATCCACACCGGACCCACTATTTCTCTCAGCATTTCCAGAGTCATCAACATCCATTTGATCAATTGACCCAACAACCTAAAATAAAATCAACACAAAAATTCAACTTCCAACACAATTGAAAATTAACAAACAAAGCTCCAACCACACCCCCACTCAATTTTCATAAAGGAACTAACAATCATACAAACAAACTCAAAATCACTAAAAACCGAACAGAACATCAAAAATTGCCCTCGAAACGAAGCACATTGTAGTCAACAGATAATACTATGCAATAAATCAAATAAAACAAGGACTTACAGAAGGAAAGACGGCCTTGGGAGCATCTTCACCGGCGTAACCAGCTTTACAGGTGTGAGAGCCCAAGTCGATAACTATGGCCGATACTTCATCTGCGTTAAACCATAAAAAAACAAAAAAAAATAAAAAAATAAAAAAAAATTAGATGTTTGAAAAGGATAAACGAACAAATTCAGAAGACTCCGAAGATGCGAAAATTTTAAAGTTTATTTGAGTACTCACCTCCTCCATACATGATTGGAGCTTCAGAGAGAGTGAGAGAGTGAGAGAGTGTAATTTTGCAGAGGTTTTGAGAGAGTTTTGGCTGATTAGGGTTTTAGTTTAGTTTTTGACCACGCTTGGCCCGCGAGAGCTGAGTGGAAGACTGAAGGCTTCGACTTCAATTTCTTTTTTAATTTTTTTCATTTAAGAGGGGAATAATTATTGTTATGGAAAATAAATAATTACTTTAATTTTTAAGAAGCTATTACAGTGATCTATTTTTTAAAATGGGCTTTTTAGAAAATTAATTTTTCATAAATGCATATAATGAGAAATTGTTATTATCTCTAGCCCAATGGGAGTGGTATAGGACAGCAAGAAATAAACATTAAAATTTCTTATCTAAGATAAGTATTAGAAATTCATTTAACTTAAGCTAATTTAATTTATATTTTTAATGAATCAAGTATGGGACCAAACCTATGTTTTCTAAGGGTGTTCAAAAACATGAAGAAACCCAATTGAATCGAAAACTGAACTGAATGTTCAGTTATTCAAAAAACCTGTTCAGTTCGGTTCAAAAACAATAAAAAACCGAATTTTCGATTCGATTACCGATTTGGAAAAATATGAAAACCAGTTTTACTAACCCGTTTATTTAAACAAATATTAAATTAAAATATAAAATAAATAAAAATGTAGTTTATTATAAAAATATTAAATATTAAATTAAAATCAGTTTTCCCCTTAACTGGTTCGGTTTTGGTTCAGGAATTTTTCTAAACCGAAAAACTAGTTCAGTTCACAAAATCGATTAACCGGTTTTGAACACCACTAATATTTTCTACCCTCTAAAGCTAGTTATAAAAAATAAATCAAATAGCCTTCTCTTTAATTACATAAATTTTCTAAAATTTTCAATTAATTGGGTTGGTAACTTGTAGTACAGTCTTTGAAAATAATTATAAAATAAATTAACTTAACTTTATACTTATATCATCCTACACTAGTTCAAGGATTTAGTTATCTATGAATAGTTTATCATAGATTTTTCATTTATGTACTATTCCAAGCCAACTCCATATTAAATTGAGTTAATTAAATAAATCAAGTAGAAATTGTTTGTTGAGATAAAGTTTGTATGGATTTATTTTTGGGTTTCATGCATATTGTGAACTTCACATTCTTGTGAGGTCCACACTTACGAGTAGTGAGTTCGCTCTAATACCAATTGTTAAATATCGGTTTCAACTAAGTTAATATAGTATGCTTTTCGGTTCATGCCAGCACATATTTGTTATTGGACTTCGCACGAACGCCATTCACCTAAAATGCGTATAATTGGTTCTAACGACTCAAGTCTTATAAAATTAATTATAGGTTCGTTTGATAAGCAATGTGAGATGCAATAATATATTATTTAAGCATGATGATTTTGATATACTATGTTTTTCAAAAAAAGTACAAAAAAACTCAAAAAAAAAAAGTTATATGCTTTAAACAATAACAAAAATACGTAACATTGGGGTCACAATGTAATGCTCATAACAACAAGGTCATCATATAAAAAGATAAATTTATAAAAGTACATAAGGAGATCAAAGTGTCAAGTTTAACTAAAGAAGGGACCGAAGTGAACAAAGTTAAAAAATTCTGAAAACTTTTGTCGGTGTATATCTTGAGGATTAGAGTATTATAAAAAAATTATTTTACTCAAAAGGTTTTTTCTTTTTTCCCGGGTCAACAAAATTATGAATTTAAATGGAGTAATATTAGGTTCACAATTAAATCTCTGATGTGACAGTTCGTCATTAGTCAGCTCACAAATTAGGTTTCGCCTACCTATTTGCGAGCTAACCAATGACGAGTTATCACGGCGGAGGTTATAGAAGAATGTTGTAAGAGAAGTTGTCAACCTAACATTATTGTTAATGATATTTTTGTATTATAAAGGACTAATTATAGTTAAAAAGAAATAATTGTGTACTAGTATGCAGGCTTACCAGGTTTAAAATCTATAACAAACAAAGATACAAAATCATGATAAAATTATTAGAACAATATGTTTCTTAATTTTGTAATTAGATTAAAGTCAACCATTTCCTTTCACGTTATAAATAATGTACAATTTTAATATATAAATAGATAACTTGTTCCTAAATTTGTTCCTTTTTGAATTTTTTGTCTTGTATTCACGCTAGTTGCCAAATAAACTAATCATCTAAACCCTAAAATTAATGATTGAAACATCTTGAGTAATACACTCAAAAATCTTAATTGATTACTCGACCACCTAATGGCGGTTGCCACCTATTACCCATTCTTCTAGAATAATTACATTAAAAATTATAGATTTTTTATATTTTAAATTATATTATACTATATGTATAGTTTCTTTTTTGAAAAAAAAAATGCATATTTTTTTAAATTTATTGTTGAATTTAGAAGCACGCATTAAAAATTATACCCATCTAAATATAAATATAAAAAAGAATTAAAAAACCAATTTAATTGTAATGGTCTACAGGTTTAACACATCTTACTTATTAAAGAGAACAAATCATGATAATATAACCAGAGCAACATGTTTCTTATTTATAATGAAAAATTTCTAATGTAAAATGTCAACTACCTTTATATGCGATGGTATGTGCACGTTATAAATAAATAAATAAATAATAGACACAAACATCTTCCTTTTAAATTAATCTTTTGAGATATTTTTTTACACCAATTCAATTGTACTAATCTTAAGAATTAAAGAGTTATTGTTCATCAACCAAGTCAATTACAAATATGTTAATTTCAAACTACGAAAAATACATTGCACATTATAATAAAAACTGGATATATGGATAAGAGACATTATATTAAATAACCCATTAGTTGGTGTTAGTTGAAAAATAATATGTTTATGAATATGTCCCAAAATACCCTTTATTTAACTGCTTTTCTCACCCAAGGTTTGCCTTATTGACACTTTGCCACAAAAAAAGTTTCAAAATACTACTTTTTCACCCAAAATTTATATTTCATTAATACCCAAAATACACTTTACTTTCTTAGTTATCGTTCGACGTGTTACCAAGAGCTAGTAAGAGGGGTTTTATAAAATAGAGGTCGACGAATCGAGTGGTGGTGATCGATTGAACATTCGTCATCCGAATCAACAAAAAATTAACTAAGAATAGGAAGTTCTAACTTTGCATGGCCAATAATTAACAAGAAATCAGGTGTAAGATGAGAGGAGTTTTGTAAAGAAGAGATCAGAGGTTTAAATAATGGTGACGAAGAAAATTTTTGTCATCAGAATTGGTTTTGGGTATTAACGAAATATAAATTTTGAATAAAAAAGTGGTACTTTGAAATGGGCGGAAATTATTAAGGCAAACCTTGGGTGGGAAAAATTGTTTACTCTTAATTTAATTACTAACGGCTGAAAATTTTGAGTTTTTAAAAATGAATTATTTCTCAGTTAAAAACCAGTTCCTCTACGACGTTCATTTCCCCTGTTAAATATGTGGCGGGAAAGCTCATAATTAGGTCTCTAGAATTGTTTTTCGCACTTTAATCAAGACTTTAAAGCTTCTTCTTTATCTCATCTGCCAACAATCAGCTTGACGTGAGCAGTGAGCTTAATTCTCTTATCGCCTTTTACACCATCTCTCTTTTTTGGCTTTTTAAATATAAACCCACAATAACCCAACTGTCTTCACACTCATTCTCACTCTCAACACAACAATGGCGACAACTACCCCATTCTTTCTCATCACTCTTCTCTTCTCTTTCTCTTTTCTCACCTCCGTCACTTTCTCCCGCACCACTCCCACCACTACAACATCTCCTCTTGATGTCACCTCCGCTCTTGTACGAGTAACTCAAATACTTGACATCCTCAATGGTCACTCAGACTTTCAACCTTTTGCTCAAGAAACGATACAACAATCCTCTCTTGATTCTTCTTCGTTTTCGTTTTCATTCCCTCTTCATTCTAGAGAACTCCTCAACAAAACCCAACACAAAGACTACAAATCCCTACTCCAAGCTCGACTTGACCGGGATTTAACCCGAGTTAACTCGCTGGTCACCAAACTCCAGCGTGCTCTGAAGAAAGAGGAGGTGAAATCTGCTGATAATCAGGTGCTTACTCAGGGTGGCAAATTATCGGCTCCGCTGGTGTCGGGCGAGAGCCAAGGGAGCGGCGAGTACTTCACTCGGATCGGCGTCGGGTCCCCGGCGGAGCAGTTCTACATGGTGATCGACACTGGCAGTGACGTTAACTGGATTCAATGTGAACCTTGTGTTGACTGTTACGATCAATCAGACCCGATTTTCGACCCGTCCTCGTCGTCCTCTTATGAGTCTGTCTCGTGCGAGTCTCGTCAGTGTGATCAACTTGAAGTGTCAGCTTGTAGTAGAGACAGGTGTCTTTATGAAGTGACGTACGGTGACGGGTCTTTCACAGTTGGCACTCTCATGACCGAAACGCTCTCGTTTGGGAAGAGTGGATACGTGGAAAAAGTCGCCATGGGTTGTGGCCACGACAATGAAGGTTTATTCACAGCAGCTGCTGGGTTGCTTGGCCTCGGTGGTGGCTCGCTCTCTCTCCCTGAACAACTCAAAGCAACGTCGTTTTCTTATTGTTTAGTGGACCGTGACTCGAACAAGTCAGGTACTCTTGAGTTAAACTCACCTGTACCGAGTGACTCAGTCACAACTACGTTATCAAAAAGCAGCAAAACCAATACTTTTTACTACATAGGGCTTACCGGGTTCGCTGTCGGCGGTCATCCGGTTCAAATCGCAGAGTCGACTTTCGAACTGGACAAATCTGGCAACGGCGGGATCATCGTCGATTGCGGGACCGCTGTATCTCGGCTTGAGATTGAGGCTTATTACGCGCTACGTGACGCGTTTCGAAGTCAAACGGGCAACTTGAAATCCACCCGACCTTATGCTCTGTTCGACACGTGTTACGATTTGTCAGGATTATCAACCGTAAAGGTCCCAACGGTGTCGTTTATATTCTATGGTGGTAAATATTTCGATTTACCCGCCGAGAATTATTTGATTCCGGTGGATTCGGACGGGACTTTTTGTTTTGCATTTGCTCCAACGAACTCGTCTCCGCAAATTATAGGGAACGTTCAACAACAGGGGATGCGTGTCAC